CGTTCCACAAATCAAAGATTTGGCGTTGAAAAACCGTCGATTAACAATTAGGGACCTTGCTGATGAAGTTGGCATATCGAAAGGCTCAGCCAATACCATTATGAAGGATGTTTTGGGCCTCAAGCGCGTCAAATCTCGACTGGTACCGAAAACATTGAATTTTTTTGGAAAAAGGCGTCGCGTTGAAGTGTGTGAAATGATGCTTTCCAACTACTAGTGTGTCATGAAACGAATTATAAGTGGCGTTGAGACTTGAATCTATGTTTACGACCCGTAAACAACCGATCAATCGAGCGAATATCGTGCCAAAAGGGATCCAACTCTTGTTGGATTTGCCACATTTTGAAACACCCGCACAGTCGACTGCTGTTTACTTTTGGGCTCATACGCGTAAAACCGATTTTCATTACCTGTCTCGATGTCATAGACGTGTTTCATAGCGTATTTTGTTAACATATCTCTCGACCAGTCGATAGGAGCATTTTGTTGAGCTATTGACATTTTTATTAATTATATTTTTTTCAATTTACTAATACGAGTGTTATATTTGTTATTGTGATTTCAATGATACAGTTACATTGCTGTATGTAACAGTAATAGCTGTAATTAAAATCTTGTTTGCCACAATTTATTATTTCTTGTTGTAATTGGATAGCAGAGCTCCCACAGAGTGCTGTGACATTGTGAAGGCCAACTATGCAGTTATGTGGCAGAAAGAAACACATCAACATATAATTATTATAAACATAAGTAAATACGTATATATGTATGTATAATATATATGGATAGATGTACATAAATATAGATATGCATGTACACATATATAAATATATTATATAATATACATACGTACTTTTGTTTATATAAAAGGCATAACATTTTTTTAATTTTCTAGCCTACGTATTAGATTTACATATTTTTATATAAAAATAAATTTTTATTTACACCAACGAAAAAAATCCAGCAATCTACTTGCAAAATTACAATTTACTTACACACATATAATACATATGTATATACTTCACCGTCTGCTAGCCAATTTGTCTAATCATCTAACAATTAAATGCCTGTCGATTTGTTTAATAATAGTTTTACATATTGCCATAACGGTTAATTACAACTATTACTATGTAAAGTGTGAAGAGCAATTGTAGCGAGCGTTTTCAGCCAGTCACTCGAATGAGCGGCTCGTGAATGACCCAGACAAACTAAATACGTAAACATACTTATGTGTATGCTTGTAAATAGTTGACAATTATTAAATTATTTTGCAATTTTTGCTTTATTTAAGTGCTTATGCCACGCACACTACGAACCAAAAACAATAAATATATAAGTAAACTAATAAATTTCATTGTGAATGTGTGTGCGTATGTTAGTGTGCGTTTGTTTACGTTTCAAGTGCTTTGAACTCTGATTTTAATGAATGCAATTATAGTGAATACATTTGGCTGTTGGCGACTTTTCTTACATCTGTAATTGATAGGAGTAGATGATATATTTATACATAGTGCATATGTATGTACATATGGCGCTATATATGCATATATGTAGCTAAATGAAGCAAATGAAATCAGTGTGGGGGTTAAAGATGCAGGCATGTAACGGGTGATCCAAGTAGAGGTACGTTTTTCAATAGCCCCTAGTTTTGACAGCTCACGCCTGAGTCGTGTCAAGCTCTCATGTATTTGATACATATAATTTTTATTGGAGGTGGACTTTAATTAATTAACTTAATTTGAGAATATTTAAATTTATATAACTTATATAAGTTCTAAAAATTCAAAAGGAGTTTATCAAAAGCACATTTATGATGGAAAATTTGTTGAAGAATAGAAAAATATTATTTTATGGATCAACAAATATATACGTACATAATTTATATAAATACAAAAAAGTTTATGTATATATTGTTAATTTGTATTTGTTAATTTGTTTTAGTCTATAATACATATTTACAAATATTTAAAAAATATATATAATAATTCCAATTTATTTAATTTTTCAGATTTTTCCATATCCGATAAATGCGAAGATTCGGGTTTACGCGTCAATGGCAAAGGCAAGAAAATGCGCAAACCGCGCACTATATACAGTTCATTGCAATTACAACAATTAAATCGACGATTCCAGCGTACGCAGTATTTAGCGCTGCCAGAGCGAGCCGAATTAGCGGCGAGTCTGGGCCTCACGCAAACACAGGTAGGTGAAGAATATTAGAAAGTGAGAAATATTAATAACAAAACAAGGGGAAGAAGATTTACAAAATTTAGAATATTGAAAATAATAAATTAAATAAAAAAAAAGAAAAAA